GCGGCGGAGAGGAGGTAGGCCGGCGCGCGGGGATGGCGTCGCGGATGATGCGGACCGGCGGCGGGGAGGCGGAGGATCCAGATCGGGGTGGGAGGCGCGGTCGCTCGACTCTGGGTTTTTTTTTTTGGCAAACCGCACACGCGTCCACGGATGGATTAGAAATACGAAACATTTTTTTTCACATATTTACTGGACTGTGGGTTAATTACTTAATATCATAGGGTTTTTTCTGTAAAAATGCCGACGACGTACGGCAGAAACCCAATTTGCTTTATTATTATATTATATTATATTATTATTATTATTATTATTATTATTATTATTATTATTATTATTATTATTATTATTATTATTATATTATATTAGGTAGAGAAGTGTTCTACAGACAGCTTGGCCAGTCCTTAGAGGTAGCCCCAAATAAGTGGAATGGAAATCCCCTCTTCTGCAATTTAGAGTGTTGGTGAAGTGCTCAACTCAACTCTATCCTTCTGGGTGTTATTAGGTACCATAACTGATTTGTAGTAATTAATTTTGAGGCCAGTAGACATTGAAACCGTTGGTATGTGATGCCACAAACAAAAACGAAACATGCTCTTGAAAGGAGATATCACAAACGAAGACAATACCTGAATAAACATTCTTTCTGCATCACCTGCCTTGCCATTTTGCTTCAGTATAGCTCCCTGTGAAAGTGAAATCAAAATGTATACCGTCACTTCACAGTAGAAACAAATAACTGGTCAAGATTAGACTATTGAGAGTCCACAACTATTCAAAGTAGTGACTTTGCTTAGTGGTAAAATCAAATAGCTGAATCATGGTATGTTCTAAATATCTCCAACAACAACAACAACAATAAAGTCTTTAAAACCCAAACAAGTTGGGGTAGGCTAGAGTTGAAATCCATAAGATCTCAAAACCTGGTCATGGTTCTGGCACGTGGATAGCTAACTTCCATGCACCCCTGTCCATGGCTAGATATGCCCCCTTATTTATTTTGCTAATATTGTGTATAATGAATTGGCATGTCGAATCTACTGAAAAATTAAGGACCTAGCTGATGTTCACTCTTTATGTTGTCCTAAAAAGCACACTTCAAAGTTCCAAATTCCTAGCTAAAGCGCAAAGTATGCATCTTATCAATACCTTCGCCAAATAACCACGGAAGTCTTCAGGATGTTCAGTGATTAAGTTATCATAAACAGTAACAGCATCACTGATATGGCCCCAATCAGAATAGGCCTTTCCAAGAAGCAGGTCAACCTGCGATAGCACATGAAAATAACTGAGCACTTTGAGTTTTGTCTAACTCCCATGTTAACAATCAGTAACTCAAAGTACATTGTCCTAACAAACAGTGCTACAGTAGCCGCGCCAGGATTTCAAGCGTGGGTTGGAAATTTGGAATTGAGGAACTTGATAGAATTACACAATTACACATACATGTTGGCATATATAGAAAAACTATTTTTTCCGAGAAAACACAAAAGCTTTGCATTTCGATGTATTGAATAGGTAGGAACAAAGTTAATTACACATCCAAACGGGCAGAGCAAAAAGGGAAATGAAAACACTGCTCGAGAAATCGATGAACATCCCAGCCCTCAGGCCGGCACGCTGTCAACCGGGTGGCTCCCGCTCTAACCCACTCACAACCCTCATGAATGATATTGCTGAGGACACGAGAATTTGGGTGTGCATTGCGAAGGTGCAGGCGTTTCTGTGCTTCCAGATCATCAAGGACGTGAGGAGCACAGTCCTAGCAAGGCCCTTGTGCCTCTCTTTCGATGTCCTCTGCTTAGCTTCAAGCCACTGGTCAACGAGGGTTTCACCAGGGACAAGGCCTCCGAAGGTGGCACAAATTGAGGAGAGAACCTCATGCCAGATCACTCTGGAAAACAGGCAGTCGGCCAAAAGGTACTGCATTGTCTCCAAGGTTTGGCCACGGAATAAGCAGGCTTGTTTGTGCGGCAAGTCTTTGAGAGCGAGATGCTGCACTGTCCAGCAGCGGTTCATACCAGCCAGCCAGAAGAAAATTTTCACCTTCCATGGAGCCCAAGACTTCCAAGTTAGTTTCCAAGCATGACAGCAGATGGAACCGTGAAAGGTCGCCCTGTAGCAATCAGGCGGAGTAGACCCCAGACTGTCCAGCGCCAGATAAGGCAATCTGGCTCATCGGAAAGGTTGGTCGCGTCCATAGCCCACCCCCACCAGAGCAGCACGAACGGTTGCAGTTCTGTCAGCAAAAGGCCACCAGGGATGTCGTCAATCCAAGTCCCGTTATGGGGCCGCTGTGCTATGGTGCAGACTTCGGTTGATGCTTAGGGACCTTGGCAAGGATGTCAGGTGCAATTTTTGACACCGCATGTCCGTCGAGACATCATTCAGACTAAAAACGGCAGGACTAACTATTACCCAGCTTGGTGTAGCTAGAGGTGTGGAACAGGGCATGCTCTGAGGATGAGGTTTGAGTAGCAAGCCCGTTCCAAGGCTTGCATGGGTCAGTTTTGCTGAACCAAAGCCATGTAGATGTAGGGCGCAGATACATGCCCATTCTGTCGAGGTCAAGGATGCCTAGGTCGCCTAGCTTGAGAAGGCAGCAGACGCAGCTCCAATTGACCAGAAAGTTGCCGATGTTAGCCTCCTTGCACCCTGCCCAGGTAAAGCCGCGTGGAATTTTGTCACACTGACGGCTTTGGCCAGGAACTGCGCCTTCCAAGTCTATGCCTATCAAATTCCTCACAGCAAGCCCTCTGGCTGTATTCAGCACACTAGCTATCCCATTATGAATAACAGTTCAACATGTATGCTGTCAAATTTTTTAGCAGAAAGCTTCACTAACTCTGCTAAAAACCAAGTAATTTACAAAAATATTAGTAACAGCTGATCCCGTGATGAGAGAAACAACATACTTGGATAGGATCAATATCTCGAAACTCCTGACCACCATTCTCATTTGCAGCCTCCAAATCAGGTTGCCTGGTTTGACGCTTTTCACTCAACTTGCGACGGCAAGACAGAATTACTTCGACTGCCTATCAGAAATTAAGGCCGGTTAATTGTGAAAATATGGCAGATATTTTGATATGTACAAACTGGGCAAAATTAGAGTTTAACTTCAAATAAGTTATATGTCAAGGTATGTCTTGATCATAATTTTATTTACAGACCTGATCAGGCTTCTTAGCAGCAACTAATGAATTTGTCAGCCCACGGAGAACGTCAAAATCAATGCTGTCAGATGACTGTATCACAAAGTATTAGAGTTAGAAAACCTGTATTGTGATAACTAGTCAACGACAACATATATTTTGTATAAATATAAATGTGCATCAATACTTGCTTACAGATAGAGAGTTCCTGTATGATGAAGAACTCCCATCATAATCCTTGAGCTCAAACTTTACTTCACCTAACAAGCGGTATGCTTCTGCTTTCTCGGGGATTACCTACATCAAGTAAAATGTGCATTTCTGCTAGATAAGTTCACAAGCTAGACAGAACCTGCAAATATTTCCGAGGTGGCTGCAGGGGGTAGATAAGTCGTTACGCTTATTATGGTCAGGCTGCCGGTTTTTTGGCCCATTTGGCTACGTAGAAATGATCTTGTGTTTGTGAAAAAGGAAGTGGAAATGATGTTATGTTTGACAAAAAGATGAGTTCAATCTTGTATGCAGGTTTTGCTCTCGTCTACCAGTTGGCTGTGGTCCTGAACGTTGTTACAGAAAGTGCAACACAAGGAGTCGATGGAGCTTGGCGCCAAGAAGCTCGAGTGGCTTACCAGGGAGTACATTCCCTGTTCTCTTCAAATAGAAGAATTGAGGAACTCTTCGTAATTCTATTCATGTGCAATGGCAGGGTATAAATACAAGTACATGGCTTGGTTACAACAGTTCGCTATACAACTGACTGAGCTATAGACGCGAATGGGCGCACGATATGCGCACGCTGTGGGTGCGATGGGAGCACGCCGAAGTGGACGAAGTCCATGCAAAGGACTCGGGGCTAGTTTGGTTCGATCCCTGGGCATCGTGCCTGGCAAAAAGTGCAGCCTGGAAGCTGCCTGGCAATCTGTCCATTTTCGCCTGGTCAGGCACGCCTGAGTAGATGCTGTTTGGCGGAGGACCTGGCCTGGAGAATGTGTTACGCAGGTGATGAGGTACTAGTCTCTGACAAGTGTACTAGAAATCACTTGATTTGGCCCAGGCAGCTGTGGTCAGTCGTCCCAGGCGTCCAGTTTCGGTTGCCTGGGCCAGGCTAAGCAAGGCCAGCAGCTTTTTCACCAGGCTAAGTATCCCCCCGATGACCCAGGCCAGGCTAGCCCCTTTTTCTCCAGGACATAAACCAAACGATCTCCAGGCGACTTCCAGGGAGGCTTCAGGCCAGGCAGGTTCAGGCCAGGACACAAACAAAACACGCCCTCAGTCAGTATGGTACGAGCGCATCTTCCAACATGAATGGTGCCCCCCAGTGATAGGCTTCTTAGTCTGTGATGATATATGTGGCATGTCACACCTTTTTATTAGATTTGTGATGATGATTTGTGTGGTCTATGTGACTCTTTGATTAGGCTACTTTTTGGTGACTTTGTAATAAACGATGTAATAATTGAGGTTGTATCTGTGACGAAGAGGCCTGGGGTAATAAAGCTTCCATTTCCTAAAAAAGACAAAAACTCCAAATAGCAAATATAACTTGCACCAAATAAGGGTACCTTAACTAGCTTCTCAAGTAGATCTGAAGCCTTCTGATATTCACCTAGTTCAACCAACGATACTGCTGCACCCTGTGAGGCCATGTGAAAAGTAAACAGGTATGTCATAGAACAAAATTGGCAGTTTTCAAATTCAATTAAATATTTCCACAATGTTTCAAGTATTTATATGCATGTATTATTCTCAAAATTTTATTTCTGACACATCAATCTCAACAGCATAAAGAAAATAGGACAATTGCATTCCAAAAAAGGGTCATACAATTCACCCACACAACCACTAGCTTGCGAGGTAGTGCTACTAGAAGATAAGTGGAGTAAATACGATGGAGTCTAGCATATGACTGTCCTGAAACTGCCAAAATTTATCCCAACCAAAGGTGGCATGTCAGGTGTCCCGTGATCATGTACAAAAAACCGCTTTCACCACAAGTGATCACAGCGTTGAGCACTTTGGCGGGCATTGCCAGGAAGTGAAAGATGGACCTTACAAGATGTTTCCCGCACGATAATGTTAGCCCTTAATGCTCCCATGTTGAGGCAGAGGCGTCATTCGATATGGATGAGTTCTCTCTGGCGAGCGGTGGTCAGTTTGGTTGCACTTGAGCCTCACCCTATTGCTTTGGGCCTTGGCGCTCTGGTGTCTGGCTTAGATGATGTCCCTTGATGTTGCATTTGTCTTTTGTCCCTATCCCCAAGGTCTAGTGTCTTTTTTCTGTTTTTTTCTCTTTTCTTTTTTCGGGTTTTCACTCGGTTTTCTCTGATTAACCGAGAATGTCAGGTTTTTGGGATCATCTCTCTTCTTCTTGATAAAATGCAGGAACCCCCTGCCCCGCGACGAGGTTTCTCAAAACAAAACAAAAAGGTGTCCCGTGGTTAGGAGAGATTGACATGGAGAGGGAGGTGCAGCTGGGCTGGATGTATTGCTGCATACTGAGGATGGTGCCACTTGGATTAGAGAACAGAGAAGATACGGAAGAAATTAGGGTAACTTCTTGTCTGCTTTATTCAACAGCCCGGGTCTCCTTGTATAGATGCGGACACCCTCAAATATGGAATACAAATCTTTTGTTCAAGAAAACGTAAAAACTTGCATCTCGATGCATCGATAGAGAGAGACTACGTTTTGTACAAGCCCAGGACCGGACTAATACTCCAATTTACAACTCCACATGCCTAAGGAGCAATCGCCGGAAGTAGTGTGCCAAGACCCACCGCCCCTGCCTTTGCCCATGACCGAGTCTCGACCTTGATCGTGTCGAGCAAACTGAAGATACTGGGCTGTGCATTGTCGAAGACAGCATTGCGATGCTTCTGCTGCTCACCATACTTGACACTCGGATCATGATCCACAAGATCGCTCATGGTGATTGCGGCAGCAGAGATTGAGGTGGAG